GGGAAGGAGGCCGGGGGGGGGGGGGGGGTTTTCTAACCCCCTAAACTCCCCCCCCCCCTTCCCTACGCCACTGCATCACCGCCACGAAATAACCCATACGGATAGAGATTCCTTTTCTCTTTCGTTCCGACAGCGGGTTGGCAAATTTCGTCGTGAACGACGAAAAGCAGGGAGAATGACACGACAGGCAGCCATTACACGAGAGTCGACGGCAAAAAAAAACTGGTGAAAACGCAGTCCAGAAGCATGTCTCCCTGAGTGACTCGTCAGTGATGATGCGGACGAAATTACGGGGGCTAGGGAGAGAGAGAGAGAGAGAAGTGGGGGGGGGGGAAGAAAAACGGAAAAGCCGAGAGAGACTGTGGGTGCCTGGCGGTTCAAAGACGGTCTACGTATCTTGGGTCTAAGAGGGGAAGACCACGCCAGTCTGCTCTTCAGCGAAAGCTCCTGAATTTAAAATATACATATTATTTTTTTAAATATGCTCCTTTATTTTTTTTTTAGAAGGGGTCGGAGGCTGTGCACTAATCATCGCAGAATCACCTCCTCGGCATCGTCGATGCCAAGCTGTTTCATCGAGCCGGAACAGTCGTGGCTGCCATCCAAGAGAAGCAGTTGCGGCTCGAGTCAATGACGCATCGCTCGGACCGGCTCGTCACTTCATCAAAATCTCGAGAGGCACTGGGAGCATGCCAAAGCGGCATAGATGTGCTTTGTCGACCTCGAAGAGGCGTACGACCGTGTGCTTTGAGGGGAGCTGTGAGGGATACTGCAGGAGTTCGAGAGTAACGACGGGCTGATGGGGACCATCAGTCATACCGAACGGGTACTGTAGGCGTCGCGATTGAGAGAGAGGAACGACGTACTTCTCGCTGCGCATTGACTCCTTCAGGGTTGCCTTGCCAGGGTTGCTTTGCCAGGGTTGCTTTCTCTCTCCTTTTCTGGTCCTGGTGTGGATGGACTGGGTGTGTTGGCGCAATCTGGGCCTGGATGGGAGTCGATATCGGTGGTGGTACTCCTCTTTCCTGATTTCTTTTGATTTTTTTTTCCAGAGATGATATTCTCGGAGTGGCCAAGCTAAAAGTTATTGCAGTTGGAATCCCAAACCGAATTCGAAAATTACGGGTGCTCACGGAGGAAATTTTCAATGATTGTTCTTTCAGTTCTCGAGTAAAAAAAAAATATTTCTGCGCCTGCCTGAGGGGCAAGCCCGGTGAATCGCTCGTTAGCAATCGCGTGGGACAAAAGCTCTTGGATTCTTAACGACCGATTTCAAGAAAATTTTCGTGTAACCACTGGGGCACATTGGATGTTTGACTAAATTCCTTTTGAATACCTATTGAGGTGTTTGTGTGAGGTTAAAAGATGAACAGCACCACGTGGTCAAAAGCAAGACACAAATACAAATACGTAAATTTCTACCAATTACAACTTGGAAGGAAAACTGGGGAACAAGTTGCAATTTAGCACATTTATGGGTCTTCCACAGGTTGAAAATTATCCCAACTTAGCTGTTCCCAAGTTTCACACTGGGAAGATTTTTTTGGGAGTCAAATTGGAAAGTTAGGAAAACTTTTAAAATTCTGCACAAAAATATGGTCAATTTCGCCCAAATAGTAAAACATTACGCGTTCAAAATTTTCATGAATGAATTTGACACTAGATCCATGCTGATACGACAGGTAATTGACTACCATGTCGTTTCATTGCATTTAAAATCGGTCGTCTTGGCATGCAACGGCCCCACGAAAAAGGAACTCAGCCGACACGGTAGAAACACTAACCGCGTCTCAACCTTCGACGGAATCGAAATCCCACGACACTCGACGAAAGCGAAAAGGGCTTAGAAGCGACTCCGTCCCTCATGAACCCCTGCATTCCCCCCCCCCCCCCCCCTGGGATCGACGATCCCTGCCCGGCGGAGACGTGACAAGGTCGACGAGAAGGATCTCCGAGGAATCCAAATACATCGGCGACTAATGAGAATTCTCGACATAGCGGAGGTTCGCGATGCTCCGAGTCTCGGGCACGACGAATTCATTCCTCGGCTCCGTTTTTCCCTCTCTCCGATCCGTCCGAGCGAGAACATCCGATTCGCGCTTTAGGACATGGAAAAATTGCACAAGTGCAATTATTGCATATTATTGTAATTATTGCGTATTCCAAGAGACCGAGCGACGAAATCGGGCCTTGCCGAGTCAGAAGGTACCATGTTAACACTCGCTCGTGTTGACCAAAACGTAATGGCCACCTCCAAAATGTAATGGTCACCTCGTCCTTGGAGGACGCAGGCAATCGCCTCTTGTCCTGATGCTTCATTTTAAGGGGCTATTGCTCAAAGCCGAAATTGTCGACGAAGTCGGTTGTTTGGGTGGGGTTTGTCGCTTCACGAATGCAAAAGGAATTCACTCTGACTCAGACAGATTCGAGTCTTCTGGCATTCGGGAGTGGGTGGATGCCCGCGTGCTTCGCGAATGCCTCCTTCCTCGCGTTATCCTTCTCGCGGAGAATGATGATTTGCGAAAATGTCGAGTGCGATGGAGGACTTGGTCGACCGGGCAACATCGAATCCATTTCTGCTTTCTTCGAACACTAATTTCTGCGAGCTATCGTGATTTTGTCTTCTTTCTCTTCTGACCGCAGATCAACGCTTTCAAGTCTCGTCGAAACAGAGATTGTCTTCCGGTTCTTTTTTTTTCCCGAGTCACAAGACAAACGAGACCTTTCATCGTGGGACGGGGTCGGTCGGACCAGATAGCAACTGCCGCACTTGACTCATGATGGCCTGGACGATACCGACAATCTCAGAAACGAAGTAAGAGAATTTTCTTTTGCGTTTCAGGTCATGCCACGAGGTGCCACGTTTTGCCAATTTTTCAAAAATAAATTTCAATCGCGTAATCTGCAGTTGCAGATTCCTGCCAATCACAGCATCTCCAGAACGATCTCGTCTCAGAAGTGAACTTCCCTCGGAAGTCGTCCGTAATGAGCCTCCCCCTCCCTCGCAGCCCAGCTAATAAGGGCGATGCCGTCGCGCCGCGGGGGTCAGTCGACGATGGGATCCCGTCCGGTCCGAGTCCCCCTCCCCCTCCCCCTCCTCCTCCTCCTCGTCGCGGCCACGCTGCGTTCGTTTGAAAGTGAGGCCCTTTCGTCGCCCTTTCGTTTGAAGTTTGACCGAGAAGTGAAGTTTTAAGTGACGGTGGGATGCGAAGGTGGTAAATAGGCGTCGTCGATGATTTCGTGAATAACGGCTGGTTGTTTTTTTTTTTTTTTGGAGGGGAGGGACGACGATTTTAGGGGGATTTTTGAACTGAGCACTATCCGGTGATACAGCTTTATTTTCAGGTAAAATAATTGATTTTTATATTATTTCTGTGCTCGGGTGAAAAATCTACCCTTAATGAAGTCGTGACTTCATTAGATGCTGGGAGAGGAGAAAAAAATAAGTACCGCTGCTTGTGTTCCTACATCGGGGAAAGCTACATATACGTTTGTTCCAGGATACATGCGCCTACGTCTTGCCTTCCATTGAAAATTTATTTAATAATTTTCCCCCTTTGTTAATTTCCTCTTTTGGTTTCGCCACCGAAGTGATTTGAAGTTCGCGATTTAGAGCGGAATCTCCGCCCGAAAGAGGGAAGCGAGTACTCTTAATAGCTTTCGCCTCGAGTGCGATCAGGGTGTTGCCAAGGGCAGACTGAGTGCCATGAGGGCAGACTGAGAGACTTAGTGCCATTGAAGCGTGTTTTCTGGACGAAACTGGGCATCGACTCCATTCAAAGAGCGATTCTTCGATGGAAACTGCCCATTTCAGTGAGACGCCTTGGGATTTCCAAATATTTTATTCGCGAACTAGCAAGTGCCTCTGTGGATAAACCAGCAGAGAAATTTTCATTAAAATACATTAAAAATACATAAATAAAATACATTAAAATACAAGATAGAAGACATACCTTTTGGAGCATACACAGCTGCTTCATCGATTTTCAGGCATTCCAAGAGCAACGGTTATTTTTTTCTCCGTATCCGGCCCAGTATTTTCCACGAATATCCTCAGATTTGATTTCTATCACGTTTAGAAAGGATCGTTTTGGAATCGTCCAAAAACCAGAAGTTTCTTATCGTTTGTCAATATGATTTCTCTCGCCGTCTCTTTCCCGCTGTGTGCTTGGATTTCGACCACGAACCTTTTTTTTTTGTTTTCAGCGGAGGAGGTCTACCAATTTCAGCGGATTTTCGGGGGGAAGCCGTCACGAACAGGTCAGTCGACTCCTGGTTGCTCCCAAGACGACGTGACGCAAACGTGCACGATCACGCCTCTTCTGCGTTGTCTCCCTCGACAGGAGTGAGGCCGTACGTGGTGTCCTTGGGGATGAAGGGAGGGCCTTGCCACTGGTGCGGCGGAGCGATCCTCTCGTCTCGGTGGGTGCTCACGGCGGCGCATTGCGTGTTCGACGTCCCGGCCCAGAAGCTCGTGGTGAGGCGTTCTCTTCGGCTCGGTTTGGTTTTTTCATTTCCTTTGAAATATTCTGCTCGGCTGTTTTCGGTGTAACGTGATGCTGGGGAGAGGGGGCGAAGAATGTGAAGCGCGGTGTGATATACGAAAAAAAAGGAAATACCGAAACGAGTCAATCACTATATTACGCATGCCTACGAATGAATCGGTCGCAATGGATCGGTCGCGTGCAGGCGCATGTCGAACGATGGTGCGAACGATTTCGTTTTCATCGGTCAGGTTCGAGCAGGGAGCCTGGTGAGATGCAAAGGACGGCAAACGGTTCCAGTCACACGGGCCTTCCACAATCATAACTTTTCCGTGTACGTGCCTTTCCCGTCTCCGCATATCTGGAACGAACGACGCGATGATTTCGCTCGTCGCGATCGTCGGTCACGATGATTCTCGATTCCCGCAGGTACCCGCAAGTGAAGGACGACATCGCCCTGCTGCGACTGGGTTCGCCGCTCGCGTTCGACGAGTTCGTCCAGGCGGTGTCGCTTCCGGTCGACGGGGAAGGCTTTTCGGGTGACAACCGAGAATTCCGTTGGGGGCTGCTGAGAGTTTCTTTCGGATGAGAACGTGTTCGGATGGTTTTGCAGGGAAGACGGGGGTGATTGCCGGCTGGGGAAGCACGAAGGAAGGAGGGGTCTATTCGCCGACCATGCGAGAGGCCAGAGCGGGGATACTTCCCGATTCTCAATGCCAGGGATACTGGGGGTATTTCTTCCACGGGCCTTCCATGATTTGTGCGGGGCTCAACGCCACCGACTCTTGTCGGGTGAGGGGCGTCTCGGTTCGTCGGGGTCCAGATAAACCCTTGAGTAACTTATAGATATCATTGCCTGTCGAGTGAATCTTCAGGGAAGTCGATTTTATATGAAGCCTGGCGGTTTCCTTCGGTAGCAACTCGGCAACATTTGAAACCCTCCGATGGGACTCTGCAAGGACCGATCGTTACCGAAACTAACTCGATTCGTTTATTCTAACATCCTCTGATTCTTTCGTCCATCCAGGGAGATTCGGGCGGTCCTTTAGTGGTGGAGTTCAAGAAATCGCCGGTGAGAACAGTCGTCGGTGGCATCGTTTCCTGGGGCATCGGTTGCGGAAGACCCAATAGGCCTGGCGTCTACACGGACGTTGCGCAATACGTGCCGTGGATCACGAAAATCATGGATTCCTATCCCTGTGGCGTACCTTGAATGAATAGCTTCGCTGGTCGATGACTTTATTGTAGAGGTGTGCGCGGGAATGATTTTTGACTCACGATCACGAGAGAAAAACCATGTTGTCATTCTTTTACACGTGTTTTTTTTTTCCCATGTGTTTCTTACTGCCTGAAAATTCCATGTGAATACATAAATTGTCAGGCATTTTAATGCAAATGTGGATTCGTGGCTCTCAACAGCAGTCGCATACCTGTTCTTTCAGAATTCTGACCATATCGAAAGGAGCCGCTATAACTCAATAATGGACAGCAGCAGGTGCATGACCTTTTAACAGCTCTTGGCGAACATATTAGACAACGTACCATCACATTTTTAAAGTGGATACATTCAAATATAGGGATTTTTATAGCAAAATTTCGAGTGGCTTAATTTTTTTTTACCAACCCAGTAAATTAGTATTAAATGGCAAGACACAATGCCTTAGTCAGATGAAACTTGATTCACGTGGCTATTACTCGTTTACGAGTTTTTGTGGAGAAAAAGCATGTCCAACAATTTCAGAGATCTATCCAGAATTCGCGGAATGCTCGAAAGAAACCTTGGGGTCGAACAGGAGAAATGAGTTCTCAAACGATGAATGACAGGGAAATAAAACAAAACGTTGGCTTTTTCCATGGCTCCAGGAAAAGCTCGCACGAGAATGTGAAAATCAGCAAAAGGAACTCACGATCACGAGTGAGTGAATTATGTTCGCGTCACGATCACGATGAGGGCCTTCGCAGGAACCCCTGTGCGAGTAACGACTCACGAAAATAGTTGCGAGTCCCGCGTTAACCACGCGTGAGGCGAGACTCACGCACACCCTCACTTCACTGCACCGGACGAATAATGAATTGCCAATGATTTCGTCGTTCACCGTGTAATTTTTTATCACTGCGCTGATGAAAGAAGAGGAAGGAATCGTCGAGGCGTCCATCATGAACTTCGGATGAAGTGGAAAGATTATGATGCGTGGTCATTTCCATCCTCAACTAAATTTGCATATTGATGACCGTCTAAGCAGACAAAAACAAAGCACTTCATCGGGGTTGGGACGAGCACACGCGCACTCCACCGTTTTGGCGTGAAGCAAATTACAGGGTGTCCAAAAAGTGACTACCTATGGGCAACCTTTTTCATACTGAATCTAGGGGAACCAACTTTTTCTTACATTTTTGTAGGTTATTAAGTCTCGGAATGATGTCACATCTTTCGTTCCTACACTCCAATCTAGCTTAGATTTAAGTTACCAAACACTTGTTTCAATTACAAGTTCAGATGAGGAGTGTAGCATTCCGAAGTGTCATTCCGAATTGAATAGGCACTATCTCCGGATTTTGACCCCTAGTGATTTTTTTTTCACTCTATTTTTCACTCTATTTATTTTTGCCTCTATTTAAAAGGCATTGTTCACGAGGACTAGCTTACAGATCTGAACAACTTGAAAGAGAAATCTGGAAATCGGCGGTCGACACATTCAGCCAATTTGTCGAGTAAATTTTCGATTTTTATGATTTTTAATTTCGAAACGCTCTATTATTCAATCAATACCGTGATGACTTTAAGAAGTTGTTGCAATAAGGTCGAACGGTAACGTTTTCCTCGAATCGTTGTTTCTTCTCAATTCACATGAATAAAAAAAAATCATAAAACGCTAGATATGGGAAATTAATTCTCGGCCGAGGCGAAAAGATCTGACACTATTCCAAGGTAGGTACGTTGTCAGTAGACCAAAATATGAAAAAAATGGCTACTTCATCATAAAAATAATTAAAATGTCGCCCATAGACACTTTATTGACACCCTGTACTTAGCATTATCATCGCAAAAATAATGGACAACGAATACCGACACGTCAGAAACGATCGAGTGCTCTTACTGCTTTATTCTGTACGAGGAACAAAGGGTCCGTGGACTAGTGGGAATGTGCACGGTTTATATGGAGTTGTATGACCATGAAAGGCAATTACTTTCATCAGACATGGAATTGTGTCGGAACCAGCTGGGAAAAAAAATCCAGAAATGAACCGCAAGAGCCCGACATCGTCAGCGAAGGAATGATGAAGGACGAGGTATGGAATAAATGGAGATTCCCTGCAAAAATGCAGGAATGATGCATTCCTGCGTCGGTGGGGGAATGCCCATAAACGTCAACGCATCTTAATTTTACACGATGCTCAATGTTCCGGTAAAATTGGTGGGAATTCCCGGGGACGAGCCGCCCGAAGCACGGAATTCCACCGTCTTCTGGAAAACGTCGTCTCATTTTATATCAGAGCACTAAGAACAGAAATTCCCCCGAAGGGAGGCGATGACGGGACCCAAATCTCATCGAAGCCGATTGCAAATATGTCTGGCCATCACGCGATGCAATTCACACGGTATCCGAGGAATGGTAGATTTTGCACAATAATTCGATGGAAACTGCGTGGAAATTAAGGGATCTGCAAGGAGTGCAGAATTCCAAGTTATGAGTCGGCGGAAACAATATAATCTGAGAAATAATGGGAAGGTGCCAGAAAATAATGGGAAATAAAGGCGTAACGTCATTAATTGTGAGAGAATCTGACAAAAAAATAATCCAATACCCTAAATACTCGGCGATTCATCCGATGATATGAGGTTTCCGTTCGAAGTCGTACAGTCGAGCGGAAAAAGTCACGATGCTTAACATGCCTAACGTCGGAGAAATACCAAAACATCATGTCGACAGAAAAAGAAGAGAGAGCTTATATATAAACGAGATAGAAATTTTTTACCCGATGAAAATAAAATTCCAGTCACCCTCGATCGTTACAAATGAGAATAAACCTTTTGAAAGATGTTGTCCAGTAGAGGTACACTGCATTTAAAGAATTGCTCTTCCCAACAGTATATAAAATAGTTTTTACTATTTTACTCCTCGGTGCACCTAAAAACCACGGGAGTTATCGAGCCGTTGGATGTTTATTTCTTCCGCGCGTGGAAGGACTTCGTCCGCGAAGTTGAAGATCGTATTCTCCTGCATCATCTAGAAGTCAATCTTTTCCGACGTGATTATATTTTAAAACTCCAATTACCATACAATTACAATAAAGCTGGATACATGGGGACAGAGGCCCGAAGCCAATATTGCTATATGCTATAAGTCAATATTGCTTCGAAATGGGCATTTTCAACTGAACTGTCAAAAATTAATGAGCGACGGTGTTCATATTCATCAGATGCTCCCATTGTGAGCTACGTCTTTGTTTCTCCCATTTTTATATTGATTTTCATTATTGCAACTCAAAAATTTTTTACATTTAAGAATTCAGTTATTGGGCCACGAGGGCACGTGAAATTTAATTTAGGGTAAAACACCCAATTTTCGGACAGTTGAGCTTGCCCAGCCTCATCATTCGCTCGTCCTATCTCAACAGTACAAACTGGAAGCTTCTTTTTTTTTTTGGGAGCACGACACAGTGAAGCATGAGGGCAACAAAGATGTTGTCTTTCCTGGCCTTATGACTATCGATATTGCCTATTAAATTAAGACAGTTTCACCTTAGTTCGGACACCCCGTTTCAAAGCCTCAAAGAGGCCTGAAACACTAGCTTCATTTTGGTGTAAAGGAATGATAACCCGCTCTCATTGGATCTTTTTTTTTCTAGTATTGGATCTTTTATTTCTAGAATAGGATGATCGTGAATGAGTGAGCGAGCGACTGACTTTAATTCTATATTATTCTATATTCCATATTCTAGATGAGATTCAAAATTTGAACTTGATTCACGAATAACTCTGATGGTGCGGAATTCAGGTACTATTTCTCCATATATTTTTTTGCTCCAACGAAATGGAGAGACATGGAAGCTGAAACTTGGCGCATCGTACCGATGCGCCAAGTTTCACTATTGAGATGCAGATTTCAGGTGGGAATAAGCTACTTTAGGATTCGTCCCCAGGGGCATATTTTTCGAGAGGACCTTTTCCAAAAAAAAATTTAATTCCAGGGAATCATGGAGACAGAAGGCTGAAACCTTCCTTAATATATTCCTGCTGGTATGCAGGCATAAGGGAAAATCCAACTTTTGGGATAGATCTTCTGAGGGTACATATGAGGAAGCCATATTTTCAGATACGTTTTGCTACAATGAATCGGGCGATGGCGGATGTTGAAACCTGGAAACCTTAAGTTGCTCTCCAGTCGCTTAATTCTGGAAAAAAAAATCCTACTTTTGTGGTAATCTCCTTGGGTGCACACTTTTCATTAGGATCATTTTTTGGAATTTCTTTTTGAAAAGCAGACCGGGCAGGCACAGTTCGTTACATTTAGTAGACTAGTATTTCTCTATATGCTTAATTCAGAAAACATCCAACTTCAGGGACATATCCCTGCTCCAATTTTGGAGGTACAACTCCTAGAAGAAAATTTATCAAGCGGACGTGTTCATCGTGAGCAATATTCGCCTCACGGAAGGACATCTCACCCGAATTAAAGCCCTGATCGCTTTTTCAACAGCCTCCATAATACCTTGCATTCTAACCTCCTACTGTGATTGCACTGCTTTCGAGGCACGTCGCTTACTTAGGTGTGTAAAGAAATATAAGATGCTGTACTTTTTGTGCTCGATGGTGTCCGAGGTGTCGATTCATTTCATCCATTTTACCATTTTGTGTTACATTTTATGCTTTTATTTCCTTTCTAATATTATGGTATTCTTGCAATTTGGAAATTAAAGTATCAATGAAAACCTGAGGTTACATGTTCCGTTATGAAAATTCGGACAGAGTTCCAAAATACATTTTCTCTGAAAAACATCCCGCAACTGAGCTTTTGTCAACTCCAAACGTTCTCAAGAGGACATCATATTTACGAGGATATGACACACGTGAATGTATGATAATCTGATCAATCACGTGCATTCTGTATAACAGGACTCCATGTCCTAGTTTCCTGGGAAGTAATAATTGAGTGCAGAAAACAACAATGTCACGTTTGAAACGTTTTAAAAGTAAGGTTCTCTCCTTAC